AGCAGGGAATAATTTTAACATAATTTTTAAGTGTTGCTGATTATCACTACAGGAAGCAAATTTGACAGGTTATTTGGCAAACAGTAATTGGTAGGAGATGAATAGTGGGGCTTCTGTATCCAAGAAAAAAATAATAAAACGGTATATACAATATGAATTTCATTGTTATGCTGCAATGATCAGTGTATAATCTTTACTTCCCCACTTTTGTCTTTTACTGTCCGTCTGTCCATAGTAAAGGTTAGCAGTGCCCAAAAAAATAGATCCTCAAATGGTGTACAACTTCAACTCACATGATGCTTTGCCAGTCATTAGAAAGGAAATGCATCATAGAAGATGTAGTTTCACTTAGTTAACTCTTTGTACCCATCGGAAGTGGCCCTAGAGAAAATGTAATGGCCACAACACTAACAGAGATGCAGGGATATCACATGACATAACAGTGGACAGCTGTTGTTCTTCAGGATCGACTGAATGCATAGTCAGAAACAAGCACATTATGCACAGCCATGTATTCAATGACTAATAGAATGGAGTGCCGCAAAATTCTGTTTTCCAGCAGCCACTTCTGAAAGCTCCTCTAAGAAGCCTGATCTTGCTTTTCGTGATAGATTGCTGCTTCGATACATTTCTAGAATACCAGTAAAGCAGAACTATGACTGTCATTGTCTCCAAGTAGTTTATTGACATAGTCGCACCTAAAATGAAAAATAGCTGCATGGCATTGAGATTGTACTAAAAACTACTTAAGCAACTAAATATGTGTAAAATTATTCCAAGTATACAATAAAAGTCTAATGTTTTTTTCCTTTATGTCAACAGGGCTCCTAAAAAAAGATAGGTCCGCCCCATTTGGGTGCCATCCGCGATGCAATTTGCACCACTCTTTTACACTGCCCACCAGCCTCATGGGATGCCAGTGAAGTGGGGTATGATTTGAGTGTTCTTAATCAATGATTTACAGGAGCCTATATATTAAATTCCCAAAAGATACAAAAGGTATTGGACAATTTCTGTATGCTGTCTGTGTTTTAAAGGATGTTACGGCAAATAAAGTATCATCCAGCCCAAATGCCTGGTGCTGTGTTTCTTTATATGCAATTGAGATGGCTTGCATCCAGAATTCAGCTTTAATTTGATTAGGATTCATCTTGCTAAAGCGACAACATGTTTCCATCATAGAATTATAAATTTGTCAGGTTTAGTCTGACATTTGGGTGGAATTTACTAAGCATGTAACTCCTGATTCCCTTACAAAGTATCTACCATGATAATCAGGCCCTATATTACATATTCTAAATGTGCTATGTATATGTTATATAACTTTTCCTTATAATTCTAAAATATATTTTTATTATGATATTTAAAGAAACAACCACACTTTATGCTCCCCCCAACACACACACACCCAAAAATAAAAATAGATTGGATACATGAATCAAACTATACATTTCATAAATCTCCAGAACCATTTACTGACCTGCTGACTCCATAGTTCAGAAATTGTGGATTCTCCTAGCGAGTCCAAAAACATTTTTTTTGTCTTAAATACCCCTCCTATAAACTGCTGGAGAATCTTATAACGAAGCATGATGATATCTAAGGAAGCCACTATACTAAATGACTTTTGATATGTTGTTGGATAAACTCTAGTGCCAGAAGGATTCGAAACAAGATGCATAAATCCCCACTCTGGGATGCATATGTCTAAATATTTACAATATATTTCCTTCAAAATAAAAAGATACAAAAAGAAGAAACATATCTTGCCTCTGTAAGACAAAAGTAAAATTGAGGTGCCTTTTTTATGAAGAGGCCTAATGGAAGGGACAATATATTTCCGAGGACACAAAGATTGCATGTAATAGCTTATAGTACTTTAGTTTTTCAAAGTGACAATTGAAGCCATTGCACATCAAGCTTCAATCTGTCTGTTTTTTCCCTCTCCTTGAAAATAAATGCTTATGATTTTTTCCCCATATATAAATGCAAAGTGCATATAATGTCAGTAGAGGTTTGCCATTTCAAAATGAATATAGAAAGTGATAGGAAAAGAATTAATAAATAAATGAAAAATAATGATTTTTTTTTTTTTAATGGCAGAGTGTCTTTTTTAAACAGCAATGCCACTTTTAACACCCTCGTATCATCTGTTATTACAGAGCAGAACACTACATATTGTATTTAACATATACTAACAAGCAGGATATTAGAAAAGACTGCATCTTGTTTTCTGAGCATCCTGCTGTACAGTGTACCGGTGGTGCCAAAAACAAGCAAGCAGCACAGATTTCCAATAACCGCCAAATAAAGAGCAAAGAAAGTGACAGAAAATAAACTAAATGAGAACATAGTAAAGGCAATACCACTGAGCCTCATTTAAAAGAGCAATAATAAATTATTTAGCTTGATAACTTCCCATTGGTGTAGAAGAGTATTAGCAGGGTGACTGCTGTCCATCAACTGATTAAGTGGCCAGAGATAGGAACGGCCGATCTGTGAACATTGATTTGTTGTGACACATTGATGTCTTTTATCAAAATCTGTCAAATTCTAAAATAGAACTAAACCAGAGAATCGGGCCAGCCCCAGAGTGATTTTAAGATTAGTCCCAATAGTTTATACGGCATATATTTTTTGTGATAAATCCATGGACACTTCTGTTAGATCCATTTTACAGGGAATTGGGATTATTTGTGTACCACAAAAGATCTAACTAAGTGCACATATATTTCTGAGTATATATACTCAGAGAAACAGAGGTGATATATATAAAAAGACAGCTAGCTTGATAGTGACAGATGATAAATAGATACATTATTATAATAAAAAAGAACTTAGTAAATAAAGTATATTACTGTTTTAAGATTCAGTATGCTGTATGATTGTATGATTGCATGCATTTCCACTTTCGAGTGATCCTGTGTGCTCTTGCTGTCTCCCATAACATTTTATAGAGATATATATCACATACTAGAAAATTAGAGTAATTTAGGACAAATTGTACAACAAACATGTTGAGCTATCACTATGGAAACCAATGGAATGGACCAGGTGATAGCTTCACATTTAGAACTTTGACCTAGAATTGCTTTTAATATATAACTGCTATCAAAGCTTATATGTGGACATTAGATGTATGGAGAAAGATTAGAGCTCTACATTACAAACATAGTATGTTCAGAATCTCAGTAAGCCAAGTCTTTCTCAAGATAAAATACTGTCTCTTTGAGACCAAAATTCTTTGAACATGATGATTGATGAATGAATGCACAGTTTTATTGTTCTTATCCAATCGTTTTAATATTTCTTATTTTATGCAGGTATATTTTTTTTTGATCATACGAAACAATCAATTGAGATAAATAAATAAATAAATACATAGACAGAGGCACAATATGTAGCTACACACATGCACTTGCAGTCACACAATATAGAATTAAGTACTTATATTTCTATCGATACAGATACTCACACAGGTATTCCTACACATACTCTCACACAATATGCACACATACAAATACACACACTGAACTGTGGACAACTGGAAAGGGAACGACATGTTGTCGGGGAAATTGACTGAATTCTTGGCTATTTTCAAGGCTTAGATATTTTAGCCTAACAATTGCATTCCCAATGCCAATTCCACTGTATGTCATGCATAGTGAATAAACACTAATTTAGACACCCAGGAGTCAGGGGTCTGTCCCTATCATAGAGAATTCTCTATTGTTCCATGGCACAGTTACAATACTCATACTGGTATCAGTTACAGTAATTTATCATTATATTATCTGTCCTCAAAAGTTCATGGTTTATACAACTCACACAAGAGTGACCTCTTGGTGTCATGTGTCTTCGTCTTTCCACATATGAGATGTAAACTCTACTAGAAACATCACTTCAAGTACAGAGAGACTGGGTCAAGAGTGTCAGGATTTTAATATCAGTGGATGATTATCAAATAAAAATGTCTGAGCACTCTGCATAATTAAAAAATGCAAGAATTGCTAATCAGTAGCCTTTTTTATTATTAGTGCCAAGCTGATTTAGCACACACTGCTAGTTTGCTAATGAAAATAATTTGAACAATGAACAACTTTCACCTTCAATCTTTTAGTACTGGCAACTAAATAAAACAGGTCTGTGGGGACAGATAGATAAATAGATAGATAAATAGATAGATAGATAGATAGATAGATGGATAGACAAACAGATACACAGACAGTAAAGAAACATTAATATTGAAAGATGTCTGCATTTCTCTACATCCCAATGATTTGTAGTCATATTTTTATCATTTAGTTATAATACTCAAACATGTTCTATAGAACAATAGGCAGCTTTACCATACATGTAAACACTAACAAACACATATAGGTATATGACAATGTAAATGATGGCAAGTGCCCTATTCGGCAAGCTTTAAATCTAAATGTGGATAATGACAGCAAATAATGCATTTATATATATGTGTGTGTGTGTGTGTATATATATATATATATATACATATATATATATATATATATATATATAAAATTTGTTGTTTTTTTCACCCTTTAAGGATACTTTGCTATTATCACAATCTGGTACATAAAAACCATCATATTATCATGTGATGTCTCATATTTTTAACTTTGGCAGCTGCCTATTTATTATTCCATAGTGGAACATTAGAGAATAATTGTTATGATTGTTTTGATAGCTTAGACTTTCAGTGGCCCTTACGATGGTTAATTGATACACAATATTATTATTTTTTTGTATTTGACACTTTTTATTTTTCAAAGAAAAAAAGGTGGGGAGGGGTACAGAAGGAAAGAGGGGGAGGGCAGTGTCTGGTATAATGTGGAACAGTGTTATACAGTGTTTTCATTTGCCATGCTTTGGTTTCATCATACATACAACTGTTCAGATTTTAATTTATATGCTAAATCAATCAATAATTGTAGTCTTAACATGGTACTCGTAACCCTATCATGCCACTTAATGGTTGGTGCCTATGTTGTTGTAATGGTAGGTAACATGGTTGGTGTTGGAGTTGGCCTGGCCCATGCTACTATCTTTTGTTCTTGGCTTTTTTGTTGGATGGGGTGGTGGGGGGAGGGGTGTGAGCAGAGGAGAAGGGCATGTGCTGAGAGTGCGGTATTGGCTGCAGTGGGCCTTGTGTTCATGGGTGTCTTTGTGTTTGTCCATGTATTCATGGTGTCTTGCTGGGTTTGCCTCCTCTCAGGGGAGTCTCTACTCAGCCTGTGTTTTGTATTTGTCTATCGGATTCAGAGATTTTGTATTTGCGTTTGTCCCATAGTTCCCAAGCTTCGAGCCAGTAGGACTTTCATTGTGTTTTCCTTGCCCTAAGTTTGTAGGCTTTAGTGGATTCTATCACTTTGATGCACTGATTTATTGTTGGAGAGGTTGTTTGTTTCCATTGTCAACTGATAATGGTGAGGACTGCAATTATGATGTGGTACAGTAAGTACCGGAGCTACATGTGTGGCACCTGTGGGAGTAGTAGTAGTAGAAACGTTTCTGGTTTGTTTGGTAGGCGCACTCCCGTGCACTGGACTGTTAGTGTTAAGACTTGGGACCAGAAGCGTTGAAGTGATGGGCAGTGCCACCATATATGTATCATGGTTCCTCTATCTCCTGTGCATCTCCAGCATATTTCGGAGGTGTCTGGGAAGCTATGTTTGAGTCTCGTGGGTACCAGGTACCATCTACCAGGTACCATCTGTAGAGTATCTTGCGGGACAGTTCTATGTGTGTCGTAGAGAGGGTCATTCGTTTGTGGGCGCAGTATATGTTTTGCCATTGTTCTTCAGTGAGTTGGTGTCCCATGTCCTGTTGCCATGCTGTTTTGAAGGAAGGTGGTTTGGTCTGTGTTTGCGTATGTTCTGAGGCGAATACTGTGGAAATGAGTTTCATTGCTGGTTTTGTCTTCATGCATATCTTAATTATTGTTGTCCAGTGTGCTTTTGATGGCTTTGTTTGTTGTGGTGTTGGTTTGGCGAGTACCCATGATCTCATTTGTCTGTAGGAGAAGGTTGCCGTACTGGGCAGCTGGAATTCTGTCTGGAGGTCCGGTAATGATTTGAGTTTGTTTCCTTGCATTACTTGGGAGATGGTTTTCAAACCGTGTCTGTACCAGAGTTTATAGTTAAAATCTGGTATGAGTAGTTGTATTGTGTCCAATTGAAGTGCTGGAGAAAGTGTTGCTGTTGCCCCCATCTTTTTTCGGTATGTGTCCCATATTGAAAGAGTCAATGCAGTTGTAGGTAGTAGTTCAGAGATTTTTGGTCTGTGGGTTTTTGGGAGCCATGCTAGTAGTGGGATGGAGAGCCCCCTTGCGTGGTTTTTCCCTATTTTGGCCCAAGATGTAAGGTCTTGTCGATGTGAAATTGCCACAAGAGGGGTTAAGTGGGCAGCTCTATAGTATCCTGTTACATCGGGGAGTCTCATCCCGACCTGGGCAGATGGCCTGTACAGAATTGTCTTGGCCACTCTTGGTTTTTTGTAATCCCAGACATAGTTGTTTAAGATGTTCTGCGATTCTAGCAGATATTGTGATATACAATATTTTAAGGGAGATTACACCTCTCTTTACTAGGTAACCATCTGTAATGTAGTTTGGTCGTCTTGCAACAGTGCAGCAATTTATTAAGAAAACAGAAATACAAACCACCATATTGATTGATCAAATGCTTTAATATAAGAGAGAGTACACTATAGAGCACACCCCCTATCTTTATTGGACATGGGATGGAGGGTTGGGGGTCAGTGAAGTGAATAATGTCACTGATGCAGCTCAAAAGAGGCAGACCCACCTGGAAAGGCATCTAATGATGTTCTCTTCGTACGCTTTTTGGAGTCAGTTCCTTGTGTCCATAGAATTTGCTACGGACAGGGCTTTAGTAGCTGGATTCCCCTAGATCTCTACAGCTGGTGGAGGAGCTGTAGAATAGCTGGCTGAATAGCTAGCTCGGCAGAATATGCTTATTTACAGCTATGCCTTCTTTGATTTCCCAGAGAGCATCAGCATCACTTTATTATGACATATCCCCACCTCTCTGTTAAAACTGTCAGCAAATTTTCCTTTGGGTTCAAGCACCAGGTGTTTCAAAAGAGGGACACCAAGGAAAAAAGTTGTAAAATAGAGACTGCCCAGACAAAATCAGGATAGTTGGGAGGCTTGATAGAGACTTTATTTTAGTATGCTTTTTGAAAAGGCATCAATGTTCACAGTTAACCTTCAGAATAGCACAAAGCATCAGTATGGCTAATCAAGATATTTTCCTGAGAATCAATGTAGTATTATTTCCTTTGGAATACAAGCAATTATTTAAAGAGCAATCATTTCAAGCAGCAGAAAGTTGTGCGTACATCAACAGAAGCTGTTTCTTGTTTTTATTGAAACACAGATTATTTGATAACTATTTTTTTTATTAATAACACCAACCAGTCCCTTTCCAAGTTGATCTAGTGCTCCTGAGAGAAAGAACGTTTCTCTCCTTTCTTCCTCAGTTGAAACTATGAGGACGTCTAGCCTGTTACCAGAATCATTATATAAATTACATTGTTATTCACCATAACACCACGTGCCTTGCTGTGCCTTACTGCCACAAATTTACACCAAACATCCCACTGCAGGTAACTGACCAAGAGAGGGCTGCAGCACTACAAACTAACTCAGTGATATATAAAACACGAGTGTATGAAGCAGGAGAGAAAGAAAAAGTGAGTGTCAATTAATCTTGATGCGTAACTATAATCTGCTGTTTCATGCAGAATTTGTATGTCCGCATATTATTTAGCAGGATAATAATGCATTTTCAAGTAAAGTGAACTTATTGATCTATTTTCTGAAAACAGGAACTCACCTCAAAAGTATAGACTGACTAATAAGTGCCTCATTCTTCGTGATAGATAAACCAATGCTAATGAAAGATAGCCTGCACTACTCTGCAAACTTGAGGTCTAATGTCAAATCCTAACTGACAGGTACACTTCCACGGCAGTTTCCCCACACCGACATAAAAATAAATGAATCTAATTTAGAGATTGGTTTGCTTTTACTGGACCTTCCTCACACCAGAATGAATAACATCATTTATCAAATATACAGTGATGGAAAAAAGTATTTGATCCCCTGGTGATTTTGAGTGTTTGCCCACTGACAAAGAAATGATCAGTCTATAATTTTAATGGTAGGTTCTGTGAGAGACAGAATAACAAAAAAAAAAATCCAGAAAAACGCATGTCAAAAAAAGTTGTAAATTGATTTGCATGTCAATGAGTGAAATAAGTATTTGACCTCTTAAACTTAGTACTTGGTGGCAAAACCCTTGATGGCAATCACAAAGGTCAGACATTTTGTGTAGTTGGCTACCAGGTTTGCAGACATCTCAGGACGGATTTTGTCCCACTCCTCTTTGCAGATCCTCTCCAAGTCATTAAGGTTTCGAGGCTGAGTTTGGCAACTTGAACCTTCAGCTCCATTCACAGATTTTCTATGGGATTAAGGTCTGGAGACTGGCTAGGCCATGCCAGGACCTTAATGTGCTTCTTCTTGAGCCACTTCTTTGTTGCCTTGCCTGTGTGTTTTGGGTCATTTTCATGCTGGAATACCCATCCACGACCCATTTTTAATGCCCTGGCTGAGAGAAGGAGGTTCTCACCCAATATTTGATGGTACATGGCTCCATCCATCGTCCCTTTGATGCAGTGCAATTGTCCTGTCTCCTTATCAGAAAAACACCCCCAGAGCATAATGTTTCCACTTCCATGTTTTATGGTGGGGATGGTGTTCTTGGGGTCATAGGCAGCATTCCTTCTCCTCCAAACACGGCGAGTTGAGTTTATGCCAAAGAGCTTGATTTTGGTCTCATCTGACTACAAGACTTTCACCCAGTTCTCCTCTGAATCATTCAGATATTTATTGGCAAACTTCAGACGGGCCTGTACATGTGCTTTCTTAAGGGTGACCTTGCGGGTGCTGTAGGATTTCAGTCCCTCACGGTGTAGTGTGTTACCAATTGTTTTCTTGGTGACTATGGTCCCAGCTGCCTCGTAATCATTAACAAGATTCTCCTGTGTAGTGCTGGCCTGATTCCTCAGGTGAGATCTTGCATGGCACACCAGACCAAGGGAGACTGACAGTTATTTTGTATTTCTTCCATTTGCAAATAATCGCACCAACTGTTCTCACCAAGCTGCTTGGCAATGGTCTTGAAGTCCATTCCAGCCCTGTGTATGTCTACAATCCTATCCTTGACATTCTTGCACAGCTCTTTGGTCTTGGCCATGGTGTAAAGTTTGGAATCTGATTGATTGATTGCTTCTGTGGACAGGTGTCTTTTATTCAGGTAACGAGCTGAAATTAGAAGCACTCCCTTTAAGAGAGTGCTCCTAATCTCAGCTCATTACCTGTATAGAAGACACCTGTGAGACAGAAATCTCAAATACTTATTTCACTCATTGACATGCAAATACATTTATAACATTTTTGATATGCATTTTTCTGGATTTTTTTTTTTTTGTTATTCTGTCTCTCACTGTTAAAATACACCTACCATTGAAATTATGGACTGATCCTTTCTTTGTCAGTAAGCAAATGTTCAAAATCAGCAGGGGATCAAATATTTTTTTCCCTCACTGCACTACAAATTTAACTGCTATTTTAGCTATTAAATTACTACTTACTTATTTTCCAGTGATATGGCCAACATTATCTATATGAGCCCATTGATGTTCTATTAAAGGACCACTCTAGGCACCCACACCACTTCAGCTTAATTAAGTGGTCTGGGTGCCAGGTCCCTCTAGGATTAACCCTTTTTTATAGGGTTAATCCAGCCTCCAAAGCCTCTAGTGGCTGTCTCATTGACAGCTGCTAGAGGCGTTTGCGTGCTTCTCACTGTGAGACCGGCTGAATGCGCACGCAGCGCATTCAGCCGAAGAGGATGATCAGAGGCGGAGAGGAGGAGGAGAGCTCCCTGCCCGGCGCTGGAAAAAAAGTAGGGGACCTTGAGAGTGGGGGAAGTGAGAAGACGCCAGCATCCATAGGAAAGGAGAGGAGGCGGAGAGGAGGAGGAGAGTCCCCCACCCGGCGCTGGAGAAAGAGGTAAGTTTAACCACCTCCTCCCCCTGGAGCCCGGCGGGAGGGACCCTGAGGGTGGGGGCACTCTCAGGGCACTATAGTGCCAGGAAAATGAGTATGTTTTCCTGGCACTATAGTGGTCCTTTAAATTACTGCTCACTGCTATGTTTAGCCTATGTCCTACATCACTGACCCAGCTTGGAAATGCTTCCCTATGCAGGGCAAAAACCTCCCATACGATACCAACATGCTGACTTCATTGACAGCTCATCACTTTCAAAATGGATTTACATTTATCACATTGTTGCTGTACTCCTAGCAAAGACATAATTGCTACAGTAATAAGTCAAGGAACTACAAGGAGCTGAAGTTGCTGTGAAGAAGAACAGCATAACTATCTGTAGCAAGGATCTATTCTAGTAAAATAGATTTTTTTAATGCATTTTTAATATCAGTAAGATACTATGATATGTATGTTTTAAGATAGCTCACTAATAAAGTTGTTTTTGTCACTAAAGTCAGCGCTCAAATTTGTACTCATGCATTTAATCCTATGCATTGTGCATTGCAATTATTTATGTTTCAATAAAGCTGACAATATTTGTTATTTGTAAGGTAAAAAAAAAAACTAACATTTTTGGCGGCCGTGGTCTTAGAGACAGAAAGAGAAATGATTTTGCCAAAAATATATATGCCTATTATCAATCCATGTAGTAATCTCTAGTTTCTACTGTGATTAATATTGATCAAAATGTTTCATAAGTTAAAATTATTCATCCCTTTCCATGAAAAATGCCTTGCTACTCAACCTATTATATCTCCTAATGGACATTTAAAGAGTTCATGTCTACAAACTTATAATTGCTTACAGGTTTCAGCTTGACTTGTCCCATGACTGCCTATGTGTCTGAATAGCTGGTTTCCTCTGATTCACGCTAAAGTCCTTCATGTGTCTTTCACCCAAGCTGTAAACTCAACATAAAATAGAGGGTAACTGTTAGAATCTTATATTTTCCCTTTAGGCAACGCTCTTGATCATATCATTCTTTCCAGAATTCTTTTAGTGTGTGTTGTATGTCAACAATAGCACTCACATTCTTCATGGCTGCTTTTTAATTGTACTATTTTTTTTTTCTAAACCCCGAAGGGAACCTTTTGATTTATCCATACATCTTACCTCAAAAAGTGCTCGGTAAGCATTTTTTTTATTCTGTTATACTCACATTTACTTTATTCAGCTTGTCGGCTGCCAATATCTTTGTACTTTTTCTATAGTCAGAGAAATAATGAGTCACCTTGAGTAGTTCAAGACAAAGGTGGCTACATTATTAAAAGTATCAGATAAGGCTCATTCACTCAGCAG